TAGATTTCTTGGGGAAAATACATAACTGGCTTGCTCTTGTCTTCTTCTGGGATGGGTTTGTTTGTTTGTTTTTACTTCTTGCTTTAGCCTACCATTCTGTATTTCATGTTGGTCTTACTCTGCTTAGTTTTTTCAAGACCAAAGTTGACTAGGTGCTACTGGCTGTTCTGGAATGCAAAGTAGTATTGTTTAGAAGCCTGGTTTCTGATCTCTGTTTATTATGCCAAGTCTCCACAGAGAGAGCGTATTAAAGCATGCTTCTCTAATTAGAAGCCCAAACTGTATGTCACAATTTCTGTAGCAGTTTATGTATTTGCGGTGGCTTGCTTTACTCAACGTGTATTTGTTTACATGTATTTATTTAAAAGATTTATATAGTCACCCAATTCACAAGTAGGGCGGCTAACAAAGGGTTAAAAACATCAAAACAAAATAACTAATTGAAAAAAAGAGAGATGTACCACAATACAGCATAACCAAGCCCAAGGCACAAACATATTCCAATCCCCATACGATTACAAGACAGGTTTATCCAATGCTCTGGCCTAGTGTGCAGGAGAAAAAAAAACAGATTTTCAAGGCCTTACCAAAAGCCAACAGGTTTTGGGCCATCTGAATCTCAGGCTATATGCTATTCCAAAGGGCAGGTTCAGTGACAGAAAAACTCTGGGTCCAGCTGGGTGACACTGTTTTACAGAAGGAACTCAAGGCATGCCCACCCTGCTGGTTCTCATGGGACAGGCAGAGACAATTTGAGTCAGGAAGACCCACAGATAACCTGGGGTCTTGTGTCATGAAGGGCTGTATAGGTAGTAACCAGCATTTTGAATTGCATTTGGAAACTAAGTGCAGCTTCTGACATATACCATGGTGCATTCATAACTACCTGCACCATTGCATTCTGGACTACATGCAGTTTCTGGATGGTCTTCAAGGGCAGCTCCATGTAAAATACATTGCAGTAGTCCAAATGGGAGGTAACCAAGACATGAGGAACTGTAAGCACACCTTCCTGATCCAGCAGTGGGTGCAATTGGCACACAAGATAAAACCAGGGGACCCTGACACTTACAGCCACTTGGTCTTCCTTAAGCTGAAGCCTGTTCCTTGCCATCCAGACCCCCATAGCCTCCAAACTTTGGGCAAGAATCTTGAAGGCATTACTTGGATGGCCCAGGGTAATGCTGTATACCTGGATGTCATCAACATACTGATATCTGACCCTGTGCCAGTGGATGACCTCTCCCAGCAGCTTCATGTAGATGTTAAAGAAGAACAGAGAGATTGTAGAATTCTGAGGTACCCCACAAAGCAAGGACTAGAGCTAGATTTCTCACCAACATCAACAGGAATTGGCTCCAGAACATAAAGTCTCCCACTTCTAATCCCCAAAGCCAGTCCAGAGGGATACTATGATTGATAGTATTGAAAGCTATTGAGAGATCAAGAAGGGCCAAAGTGGATGCATCACCACATCCCGGTCCCACTAAAGGTAGATACAAGTGTGGTCAATGCCATCTTGGTATTGTATCCCAGCTGGAAAAGGTGCAGATAAGCTATTTCCTCCAGCGGCTTCTGGAGTTGTAAACCGATCACCTTCTCATTTTATGAATTAAAAATTGTTTGATACCATTGAATACTTGAGGAAGAGATGTATAACTGCCTCTTTAAGAGCAAGAGGAATCACCCTCTCCATCAAGGATACATTCACCATCACCTGCATCCAACCACATGTCATCTTCTGAGAGACTTTAACTGACAGATGATGTCACAGCCTCCAGGACTCTTTCCATTTCCTTAGAACCACCAGGTTCAAAATCTTCTCAGGTGACCACAGTAGTCCTCCTATAGAGATAGGACTTGCATAGTGGATTCCAACTCAGAAAAGATCTGAGCAGCTTTATCTGACAGATGTCAAGAATAACCTAAATCTTCCTCTGGTCTCTCCTTCCCCAGGCCTGCCAGCTGGCTATCTGTGGACATGATAAAAGTAGAAAAATAAATACATTTTGACACTCTTATTGCCACAAGGTACTCCTTAAGAAAGGCTCTTACCCATGCTCAGTTGGGTTTGTTTTCTTCCAGCAACACTCTAGGCATCTATCACTTCTGCTGTTTCATCTGAAAACCAGGGGACTCTTTGCAATCCACAAGCAGAGAGAGTCTGCACAAGTGTGATCTGATCCATGGTCCATCCATGATTCCTTTATCAAAGTTAATTATATTAAAAATTATATTATTATATCGACAGATAACTAATAACAACAAATAGTGTCACCCTAATAACCCCCAAATTCACTCCAGAAATTATTCATCTTAATCTATTTCTAGAAAGCAAGTAAGGAAGAAGCTAGCCTCAAACTCAAGTGGGAGGCCATTCCACAACAAAGACACCATAATTGAAAAACAATGCTTGCAGGCCTTAGTCCCTCACCTCCCAGAAATGTGATACAAAAAACAGCTTCTCCTGGAATGATTGCATCAGAGAGGTTAATTCTGGTTAGAGGGGGTGGTCCTGTAAGTTTCTAGTTGCAAAGCCATTCAAACAGCAGTTTGAGTCATACTTGGAAACCTGTTGGAATCCAATATAAAGCCAGCAGCACAGGTGTGATATACTTATCAAGTACCAAATAATATACTGTATATCTACTGCATTTTGAACAGTAGGTCTTTCCAGGTCTTCAAAGGCAGCCCCATGTACAACATATTGCAGTTATCCACTTGCATAGAGATGAAGGCATGAGTCACTATTATGACATCCACCCACTCTAGGTACAGCTATAAATGGCATACCAGCCACAACTGTGCAAAGGTCATGACCTCCATCTGCTCAACCAGCAGTAGCCATGAGTCCAGGAGGACTTTTAAGTCATGGACCTGCTCTTCAAGAGATAACACTGGACCTGCCAGAGGATCTTGAGAAATGAACCACAGTTCCATCTTGCTTGGGTTCAACTGCAGTCGTTGCCTCCCATTCAGACCCAAACACCCTCCAGACAGTGAGACAAGATTTGATAGCACCCCAGCTCAGCCTGAGGTAGCAAAGTACAATTATATATCATCAGCATATTGGTGATATTGCACTCCAAACCAATGGATGACCTCTCCTAGCAGCTTCCTAGCATGGACATTTGGAGACTGGGTAGTATTAATCATAGAAAGCCAGGTACTCAGAAGGCCTCTTAAGAAGGGGTTAAAGGTTTTAGTGCTGTAGGCAACAAGCTATCTCACGAGGAGTCATTGACCACTTCCCAACTAGTCATACCTCCAGCCCATAAAAGTACCTGGAAGGGGAAAAATTAAGCCCACAGTAAGAGGCTGTACTGGAAAACGCCCTCTTCACATATCCAGTGTCCACATGCCAAAAGGAGTCCCAGATAACATGACTAGATGTTCTCTTAGTCATCACTCCTCCTAGATGGAATCAAAATTCCTCTTTTCTTCTAATCTTACCTGGTGGGATGTTTCTGATCTTCTGATCTTCTCCTCTCATTACCAGAATGCCCATAATACTCTTATACAGGACATTGAATGCATGCAACACTCATGTCTATCAAATTAGGAAGGACTGTATTTGCAAGCGAATCCACCATAAGATGGTGACAAGTTTGGGCATTGTAATTCTCATCACGTATTTGAGAGAGGTATGTCAATAAATCAGTCTCAGGAACTTCTCTAGATGAGATACTTTAATAAGTTCCCCACCTTGCTCTGAAGCCTAGTTCTTTTTTTCATATGCTAGAAAGTATAGTGGCCCCAGACTGTAAGTAGAGAACACTGTAATCTCAAGAGGCAGAGCACATATTATAGAAGTTTGACAAAAATACAGTACAAACACTGTATCAGCATCTAATCTGTAAGAGTATTTTAATGGCTTGCCAAGGCTGCATTGCATGTCCCTGGGCCATAGATTCTGCTTCTCTGATCTACTTGCAGTCTTTCCTGTATTGCATATATTTTAGTAGAGCTTATTTGAATGTTGCAGATTCTTCCAGGGTAATTGCCCTTGTCTTCAAATGAGCAAAAACCTTACCTTGTATATGTGGTGGGACAGTCCCTTCCAGTTGCCATTTACTTTTTTCTGATTTTTTTTTTTTTAACTCTTGGAAAGGAGTTTGGTTTGCAGGGAAAGGGAATGGGCATTTTTCACCTATTTTAAGTGTTTCAGGCATCTGTAATGGAAGTTCAGTAGAACTCTACTGAGTGGATGGGAAATAGGCATAAACCACTAGCCCAGATTTTACATCTTTCAGAAAATAAGGCACTACCTGCACTGCGGTAGCTCATTACAGGAACCCTGGTTTGTTTTGGTATATCTCTAAATGTTTCATGTATGAAGTACTTGGGTAAAGGAATAGTGTAAAATCACTTACAAGAAAGGACGTGTAGCCAACAAAAATCCTGGTGTCGTATCTAGCAGATGAAACTAATGTTTTATGTATCTGGGCAGGATATTCTAAAATAGGGGAAAGGTCCTATAGCTCTCCAGCTGTTTCCATCAACCATCATTTCCCAGCCATGTTGGTGGAGGGCATTGGGAGATTCAGCAACATCTGGCTGGCCACTGGTTCTTAAAGTGTAGCAACAAAGGTGCAGGGGCCTGTTAGGGCATGGAGACTCATTACTGTCTTAGAATCATTTACTAGCTGGTGGTTAGATAGAGACAGAGAAAAATGGAAAAGCTATGAATCTTGTATGCCCTCTACTAGTCAAACGAGCAAATTCTCTCTTTAACCATTCTTTGAGCGTAATTTTTTTCAACTTAATATTCTGATGCATTTTTGGGACGGGAGGTGTAAGTTAAAGCAGTTCTAGACATTCTTACTCCTGAGCGTATGGGGAATCTGTATGCCCAACTAGGTCTTTGTAAAATGGTTCTCCTTCCAGGTCCAGTACTGTATCAAAGACCAGTTGCCGAGCCCCTCTGGAGAGCAACCATTCCTCTGGATGGGAGCAATGATTAAAACAGTTCAAATAACTTTTAATACTCTTTCTCTCAGCAGCTGCAACAGAAGAACCAGAGGTTATTCCTGATCCAGCCAAGCAGACTGACCGTGTGGTGAAAATAGCAGGAATAAGTGCTGGAATCCTTGTCTTCATTCTCATCCTCCTCCTTGTCATATTAATTGTCAAAAAAAGGTAAGTATTGTAAATTTGCCATTTTCTTTTCATTCAAATAAATCATTAGAAATTCTTTCACAGGCCATTGTAAGAAAACGTGTGCAAGGGAGAGCATCTTTATCATGAACAGAAGGCATTTTGTAGAGTCAGGAACCAATATTCTACTGTAAAATCAAATACTTTTTAGTATTAAGTTGCAAAAACTATAAAGACAATGAGTGATGAAATTGAAATAATACCTTCTTATCTTCATAATGTTTCTTATACTTTATTAGGTTTAAGCTGACCTTGCTGTTTCAATTAGCCCTGCTAATTCTCTTGTATTATGCAATGTCTAGTCTGCTTGTCTTGGAAAATATTTTATAGGTTATGTTACGTTCATTTATATCTTTATAAGTGCTGAAAGTTATAGTTAAAATCACATTACCTTACCATAAATTTTCCATTGGGTTATATGTATGCAGACCTTAAAATGCAAAAGGATATTAAATGGTGTCTGATTAAAAAAAAAAAAAATCTTAGCAATTTCAAAGTCACAACAAAAATCAATAGCACCACCTTCTGGAATTATAAGTCATTCTGGAGGAAAAAAGACTATAATTATTTTCTTTTTTTAAAATACATTTTACTGGTAAGTTTCATACACTTCGTTAATTGGCACAAATTGTCATAATCAACATATACAACTGTTAATAAACAGTTCTCAGACCCCTTTTCCTTGCCATTTCTTTTTTCCTCTGAAATCTGGATGAGCAAATGACTGCTTAATATGAAGCTGCTTATGTCAAGCAATTTGCTCCATCCAGTCCCGGACTGATGGACAGACAGGTAGTTCTTTAAAATATCACTTAAAAATCTCTCTCACCACTTGGTACTGGTGATCCTTTAACTGGAGATGATAAAAATCATATGCAGAATTTATGGATGCAGAGTATGTGCTCTACCACTGAGCTGTGGATTTCTTGCTTCAGAGATCCATTGCAATTTGTTGTTTTTTTTATTAGGCAAGGAATGAATAAAAATAAGGATATTTTTGTATCTCTTATCTATGTTAAAGTGAAATGAATTTTCTGTTCCAGTTTACCAAGTAGGGGGGGAAAAAAACAGATAGTGTGCCTAAAAATCATATTTATGTCTTAATGGTTTCCAATAGATTTTTTTTTAATTTATTGCCTTTTTACAATGATTCCCCTGGAGATATATAACATGGAGGAGAAACGTCTGCATTAGAACCCTTAGGTATGCTAATAGTGTTCTGTGTTAGTTAGACACATATGTGATTTCTCCCAATAGTGCTTTCACTTTTTTTTCCTGTTGTGTACCTCTGTGCTTAAAAATAGACATACATGCTACAAACCAGTTCATACTAAAATGATGAGAAGCCCACTTGTGCAAATTAAGGGGCAGATCAGTAAACAGCTTTCTTGCTTTTTACCTGGAAGTTCTGCTTGACAAATGATAAAGAGACATGATCATCAGAACTGTAAAGGCAGGCCAGTGGGAAATGTCCTTGGAATATCAGGTAGCCAATATCTGCTCCTGGGAATGTAACTCTTCCTTACAAACCTATCATAACGTCAGCATTCATGCTGACATTTACGCCAACACCATTAGACCTTTCTGTGAGATTAACCTGTGTTCAATTATAATGGCTTTTCCAGTAGCAACACTGAGGACACCATTGCTTGTATAAGTTTTAGAGCTGCAGAAATAAAATAATTGGGCCAGTAGAGTGAATATTCTATTTGTAAGTGACCTTGGAGATATAGATCTCATAATTTGGGGGGAAATATGCTGAAACTTATATATCTTAACCAGCTGACTGGCTCATGTAAGCTTTATATTAGAGCTTTCCAAGTCTTGGAATTTTCCTTTGAGTCCAGCTCAAAGAATAGGCTTGGAGATTTTGCAATTCATGTTGCTTAACATTGGGGAGTATTTCTGCCTTGGAGGTTAGTAAGCCTGAATTCACTAGCATTCTGGTGAATTTCAGCTATTATCCACTGAATTTTTTCAGTTCTCATTTCATTTCCAGTGGGGAGAACACCTCAGTGCTGCTACAAGCTTCACTTTGCAAAATTAAACAATTTGTCAACAGTTTCTTAAATTATGTTGGGGGGAGTCAGTTTGCAGAGGGTTTTTCTTCCTATTGGAGGGAATCAATTTCAGCGGAAGAATATTATCAGATGCACGGTCCATCACCTGATCTAGTTCATCAGCATCTCATGTTTAATTTGCATGACATTTTCATAGCTATGTGCCACCTTACCTAATTTATCATGTCATTAATAAGTTCACTGACCCCGCAGTGTGTGAACTTTTATTGCATTGATCTGTTTCATAGTGTGTAGGGATTTGCTCATGGACTCTGTTAATTCAGATTAAAAGGAGGTGGATGGAAAACTTTCCTGTTTGTTGCATTAAATGGACAGCAATTCTTGGTCTAGAATTGTCCCAGAATTATTGCTGGAGAATGTTCTTGACCCTGAAACTCCCACATTTCAATTTTTTATTTTAGCTGGATTTAGATTCATTTGGTATTGGGTTCACGTGTTTCTTTTGCGAGTTGATAAACTAGCTATATTGCTATAAAGTCCTTTCTTTAACACCAAAACCTGAAACATGGTCAAAATAGGCAGCAAACTACCCCTTTAATGTTTTGATTTTTTTAAAAAAAATAAAGATAGCAGAAAAGCCATTCAGCCTCTTTCTTCCCTTCCAAAGTAAGCAATTATACAGACATCTTTAGACAAAAAGTTCTAAGGATATTTTTCGTTTAATGCTTTAATACAAAACTGGGTTTAAATAGATTAAAGCTGACTTAGAGATTCACACAACTACTTCTTTGGCATGATGGCTAGACATTAAAATGGTTCCTTGTATACATTACATGAAAGTTCCCAGGTTCTCCCCACTGAATGTGCCACAACTCCAGTATACAGAAAAGAGTGAAAGAGTTTAGTCAGATGTGCAGTACAGGAGGAGTCACTAACTAGTCCCCTTCTTTAGCTGACCATATCACTGCATAGTGGCTACTTTCACCTAAATCTAGAGAAAATCAGCATGCAAAAGAGATAGGTAAGTGAAAACATAATCCCTTCCCCTTGAATGTTTAGCTACTGTCATCCTTAGCTTTGTCTACGGGGCCAAGTCTACAAGGCTCTCCACAAGCAGAGTGAGCATGCTGACATGTAGCAGGTACACTACCCAGCTTGGCTCCTGGAGACCCTTCAAGATCACTTCCTCACTGAAAAGCCATTTGGGGATAGAGATGGAGATAGATAATGATAGATATACAGATAAATCTACAGTAAGCCATTTGTGTGAGCAGCTCCCCATCGGATTCTGACACAGGCTGTGATGATGTACCTAAAATTATCCTGAGGATCACCCATTTTTCAAGCAGCTTGTTATATGGAACTGCAGCCATCAAGCTAGCATTTTTTCTAGGATAAGTGGAAATTTGATTCAATTTACATTACTAACATTTCCTACCTACCCCACACATACATAAACATATGCTTCCTTACCTTATAGTAGTCTCAACACATTGCTTTCTATTTCAAGATACTTGCATGGAGCTCTTTTTTCTCCTTCTGATCAGGATTGATATCACTGGACAAAAGTATCCATCCAGGCCTCCATTTTAATTGGGTTCTTAATGAATCCATTCTCCTGTGAATTAGGGAAACATGTCTATATTTTTTGCTGAATAAAGAAATATTTCTTTACATACACAGCAGCATGTAAACACAGTGGTGTTAGAAAATGCTTTCTGCTTTAACCCTAAGTTCTTAGTGTATTTCAAGTGCTATAAAATAATTATTGATTATCATTTTGTAGATACATATTAGAGATTCCATTATGTGGTATCCCTTTTGATACATCAACATTTTTAGTAAACTCAGAAAAATGCTTCCGAATTTCACAGATTTCACAGATTTAATCTTGCATAGATTATCAAATTTGAACGAATGGGGGGAAAAAACACATTGATTGGTAAGCACTTATGTATGACGTTACAAATCAGAAATGTCTTATGCTTTGCTTTATCATTTTGTACCGATTTTGAAGTGGATGGAAACTCTATTAGTCATTATAGAGTTTTACAACGTTATAAAGCTGAATTTTAAAAAAGGGATACTGCATCTCTTGAATAGCAAATACTGTATTTTTTTAACCATTGTTGTAATATTTCCAAATGTACATCATCTTCTTCCATTTGTTTATTTCCCATTTTTGAAGCTAGGCATGCCTATATCAGTACTTTCAGTTTAAAGGTTTAAAAACAGCAGCTGTGTGTGTATATATGGGCTTAATATACACACACTTCTACTGTAGAATGCCAGAGCACAGCACATTCGTTGCATTCGCACATAATGCTAAGCCTCTGTTCTGGTTGTCTTTTTTATCTTGTTTTGGGGGGGGGGGGCGGTGAGCTATAGTAGCCTGGTTTGCACATAATACAAATGCCATAATGGCTTTATTTGCACATCATTCAACTCAAAAACAATAAAACATTATGGCTTAGCAAAAGTTTGCACCTGTATACCTGTAAGTAATTGTCTTACAGTAGTTGTTGGTTAACCAATCTCTGCTACTACGAGTCTTTGAGTTTGTAACTGAAAGCTAAAAGAGAAAAGAAGGAAAATAAAACTTTAGAGC